GAAAGATATATAACTCAAGCCAGCCATGGTGGCCCACACCTGTCACCCCAGCATTCTGGGGACGCTGAGGCAGGAAGATGGCAAGTTTGAGCTCAGCCTGTGTAACTTAGCAAGAGCCAATCTCAAAAAAGAAAGTTATCGTCGGGCATGGTAGTGCACTTCTGTAATCCTAGTACTCGGGAAGCTGAGGCAGGAGGATTGCCATGGGTCTGAGGCCAGCCTGGGCTACATAGTGAGTTCAAGGCCAACCTGAACTAGTGAGATACTGTCTCAAAAAAAAAGAGTTGCTGTAAAAAAAAAAAAAGGATGTAACTCAGTGTAGAGGCACTAGCTTCAATCTCCAGTACCACACACACACACAAAAGATATAGATATTCAAGAGATACACTTCAAAAACCGTATGATGTATAATTACCTGAGTTTTCTGGAGTGGGAGATATTAAGGGAAATCTGCAAAGGTTTTAGGGGAAAGGTGCTATTGGGCTAGGTCTTTTGGGGACAGTGGGACACGATTCAGGAAGACAAGCACCTTCTCTATGATCAGAAGACTCTGAGAGTGCATTCTTAACACCAAGACTGCCTGTACCCTTGCAGTGAAGCCACACAACCACTTTCAACCCAGCAGTGTCACCACTGACCAAGGCACTGTGTGTGCCAGGGGTGTCACACCTCACCCACAAGTTAATGGAGACCCTCCAACATCCCCTCCCCTGGCAAGTGAGCCTTATTAGCTCAGTGATGTGTACAGAAAGTAACTGCTGATCAGGAGGGGGAAGTGGGGAGAGGGAGAGAGCCTGGTGTCACTGGTTATCATCCCCCTTGGTCTCTTACCTTGATCGCCAAGTACCAGGGCACCGGCTTCCAAAGTGAAATCGCCAGAGGAACTGTCTTTTGAAAGAGTTACAGTCAGCCCTGAGGTGGTCGTGGTGTTCCCGCAGACGTACACGCCACGGGGAGCAATGTTGCATGCCGCCTACCGAGCAAAAGTGTAGAGAATCATTCTAGTGAAGTAGAAATAACAGCTAAGGGTAAACTGCTCCTGGTGTTAGGTCTATGCCTGGTATTCTTCTAAGAGCATCACTGAACAATCTGCACCACCCCCAGAGGCACCACCCCCTTATGTCCTGGCTTGCTGTGGTGGAAACCAAGGCCTCTTAAGAATAAGGAGCTACAGGGACTGGACAGCTAAGGAGGAGGAAGGCAGGGTTCCGCCAAACCAGGGTAGCCTGGCTCTGGAGTCCCAGTACTCAACACAGTTCTGTCAGCCTCTATTTTCAAGTTCAAATAGCAAATCCTGAGTCTAGTTTTAACTTGAAAGGCTCCCAGCCTTCTTTAAACGTGAGGTAATAAAACGGCTTCATATGTGTTCACCCTCTGAGCAGACAAGCTTTGCTAGCAAAGTACACAGCACACAGCTGAATCAGATCTCTGGAGCCAGGCAGGGCTGTCTCACCTCACACCAGATCTCCCTGCACACATCACATTACTGCCCTGAGGAAGAAAGGATAAGTAAAACTGTCTAAGGCATTTAGCCTGGCACCTGGCACGTCACAGGTGCTCCGTGGTGTGGCTGTGCACTGTCTGGCTCCAGAGAATGGCACTATCTCTCTCATCACGTCAGTGGTGCACTCTGGACTTGTACAGTGCACACCCCCAGTGACTGTATGGTGCTGGCTCAGTAAACAGTAGCTGTCATTATTGTTGTTACTTGCAACTCCTTATTTCTTAGTCTTCTTGAGAAGCCTTACAGTACCCTGAGAATGATTTATTAAACTGTTTACTAAATAGTTGTAAGAAAACAGGATTACAAATATATAAACAGTTCATAAGGCAGTGTTAGCCTAATTTTTAAAAATCTGACTTAGCAGGATTTACATGCAATATCCTCCAGTGTTTAAAATCTTTACTTTCCACTAATATTTCAGCTTCTGTTTTTTTTTAATTTGCTTTTTTTTGGGGGTACTGGGGATTGAACTCAGGACCTTCTGCTTGCCAGGCAGGTGCTTGTGCTACTGAGCTAGCTTCCCAGCCCTCAGCTTCTATTTTTAAATTGAGCCAAGAGTTTTAAAAGTATTGTTCCAGGTCTAAGAAACAAGAAAAATTAACCATGTCATTTCCTGGCATTAAAACTTTTTCACTTTTCAGTACCATTAAATGTATTTTAGAACCATTTATCTGCCAAAGAGACAGTTCCTAAATAAAAAAGATATACTACAGAAAAATGGAACTTTTATGTACTGTGGATAAGATGTATAAATTCCATTGAAGATTCATCTGTGCAGATAACCACTGGAGATTAAACAAGGCTTCCACCTACAGTACACTGATTCAAAAGTTACATGGACCATGATTCTGGTCACAAAATGAGTTGGACAAGAATCGAGTCAAATTCAGTAGTTAGGTCCAACGTTGACCTTATGGGGAAATTTGATTCAGTTCTCATCCAGTTTGACTTGCAACCTGAACTGGGGAGAGAACTGAGTTCAAGAACAGAGGCACCACTTACATAGAGTAAGTCCCCAACTTACAAACATTCAAATTGAAACTTGCACAGGTGAGTAACTGTGGAAGACTCACTTTGTTGGCTTAGGAACAAATCTGACTTCCAAATAATTCTCTGGAATGGAACGTGTTTGTAAGTCAGGGACTCACTGTACATGACAAAGACAGAAAGGAAAGGTGTAATGCTTCAGATCCCGGCAGGCATCTTTTCCCTGTACATTCTGCCTAACTATCCTGCTTCCATTTCTATCATGGACTTTGTTTCACCTACAAGCAGGTACTCTTTACCTCAGTTCTCTGCACCTCAGGCTGTGGCAAGGGCTCAGAATGGATTTTTGTTTTTTAAAGGAAGCTCAGCTGGCCAAGAGGCACGGAACACGAAGGCAAGGTTTTAATGGAGTTACAATGATGACTGGTTTAACACTCAGGGAATGAAGGTGACTCACACGAATGGTGGATTGTAAAGGCAAGACAGGGTTGGAGCCGTTTGGTTCTCAGCCCTGGCTGCACAGAATCGCCCGTCAAGGGCTGCAAATATGCAGACACTAGGACTCCAACTTGGAGACTTTTTTTTAGTTTTAAAGCGAAAAATAACTAACAAAGCAACAGTGAAGACAAAATCAAATCAACACAAAAACAAAAAAACCCATACATGACCTCAAAACAAAATGATAGGAATTAACAGTGGTTGCAACATCACATACTACTGTCTTCAACCCAGTTGCTCAGTCCACCAGACATAAGAATGTAAGACTGATCAATCAAAGACAGTAACAATTAAAAAAAAAGTTGGACATGATGCAGAGCTTCACCATACAAGATGGCAGGGGTTCAACAACGGCTCTTATACTGTATATTGTTGTCTTCAGATGAGTCGTTCTAATTATCAGATGCAGGTGTGCAAAATTGGTCAAGAAAAAAGAAAATTTTAAGCATTAACTGTTCCTTTCAATAAACCCCAGACATCAGCAATACACCTATCCCAGCTACCCTTGTATAGCTCTTCATTCATTTTGCCTGGAGCCAGCCACAGTATCTTCAAAGAGCCCCGAAGTTGATCCTGATGCACAAAGATACAGCAGACACGGAACTATAATGTACCAAAGGGCTGGGAAGCCCTTGGCCTGTCCACATTTTCCATACTGGGTGAGGAAGGTTTTCTTAGAAAGGACACTGTGGCTGGCTTCCAGGTATCACTTATAGGAAGCCACAGCATCCCAACAAGCAACACCCTCCGCAGACATCACAAACCCAGGCAGGACCGGCTGCCTGGAAGAGGCAGGCTCTTCCGTGACCATCAACTACAGATAGCACCGAAGGTGCTTTGCTTTGGACTCCAAGAGAAACAAAGAAGTATGCAGATTCCCCTACCTTTACAGGTTGGTCTTGAAGCCCAGTACAGGGCTGCTGCACTTACAGGAAGAGGGAATGAGTGGTCCTGTTTTACTGCCTTAACTATTCTGGTCAGAGATGAGATTACATCTCAACAATAAAGGCTAACAAAACATTGCTAGATACCCCACAAAAGTGCTGGAAATGGGTAACATTTTATTCTAAATGCACTCTCAACAGACCAGGATATCCGTGCAACCTGTGTGACAGGAAATTGGCTTGGTTTGCAAGCAAGGTCAGATGCACACTCCATGTGACATACATGTCCAGGTCACTTATACCCCTAGAGAAACTAGGTCCTCTAGAACACAAACATCCATGCTTTGAGAAAATTCACTGGTCAGTTGTTCGTGTTTTATAAGCAAAAGGTCAAATACTGAAGTACTGATTTCCTACCTGCAGCATCTGACTCTTTCCCAAGCCTGGATCTCCAACAACAAGGACATGTGGGTCTCCTCGAATTGGAATTCTGTTTTTGTCATCTGCATATTTCTGGCTACCTCCAAAGAGTGCTAATACCAAACCTGCTTTAACAAGCTCAAGTGTGGAAGGAGAGGAGAAAAAAACAAAGAAAAATATAAAGATGACTAGCAAAAGAGGTGTAGTATTTTTGCTTCTATGTTTTACAACACTGATTTGTTTGGGGATATAATGTTTAAGCCTACTGAAATTTTAATGTTTTATAACAAAATTATAGAAACTTCTATAACACATATCATTAAAAAGTCAGGCATGGTGCTGCACGCCTGTATTTGAGAGGCTGAGGCAGGAGGATCACTGTTAGTTGAGCCCAGCCTGGGTCATGTGAGTTCAAGGCTAGCCTGAGCCACGTGGCAACCAACAAAAACATCAGTGATGCAGGAGGCAAACTGCAGTCCTTCGCAGGATAAAGCTCCTTCCTAGGAATGAGCGCCTCTCAGTGTGACTGGACATCCAAAGTTAATGCAGGAACCAGCAGACGCTCTGGTTTTGGGGAATGGATTTGTTTCTTGCAGAAATAGCCCTCAGTAATTTCTAAAATCCTCCATATTACATGCTTTCAAGTTTTTGTCACTTGTTCTTTTTGAGACAAACTCTTGTATGTATTTCAGGCTGCCCTTGAACTCGCTATGTAGCCCAGAGCCTATACATTCACAGCACACCTCCTGCCTCAGCCTCTTGTGTGCTGAGATTACAGGCGTGCGCCACCCTGCCCAACAGCCTCATTAATTTATGAAGAATAAAGATTCATATTAAAATATGAATAACTGGCTAACAGAAATTAGCTATTCTTATAAACTATCATTTTCTCAGACTACATATTTTTGAGTGAAGATGAAATACTTACTTCATGACCAAAAATCACTGGGCAAAGCGAGCTGAAAAGCAGAACACAACTTATGAATTCTAACATATACTTCATTGACCCATAAGGAAATCACAATTTGTTTTATTGAGCAACATAGATAAATATAGAAAAAAATTTTATCCCTTCAAATTACTCAAGCAATTTTACTTTTATAGTAAATTCCTAAAAATTTCTGGTTAATCTATAAAAGGATGAGTGCTTTAAACACTGTGTCTGGGTAAGGGAGATGGGACACCTGTAGAGCATTCAAAGTCACCAAATGCACCTGTAACGCGCACCACAACTGGGCATGATGGCAGATGCCTGTAATCCCAGCACGGGTCCAACTCCCAGGACCCCCGATCAGTCAGTCATTCAATGAGATGCACCACAACGACAGCCTTCTCCTTTAGGGCACGGTATACTGTATTTTATATGAAGAGACGTCTTTAGACCTGTCTAGACCTTTAGACAAAACTACTAAGGAATGAACTCAATAAAATACGTTGAAGTGGAATAAAACCTCACTTTTTCTAGCTGAGTTCTAAAAGGACCAGATTCAATAAGGATATGAATATAAAATAGTATATTTACATATATTCTTTATAAACAAGGGACAAACAAAAATAGAGTGGAAGAGTAATTAGGAATAAAATATGGATCCTTATCCCCTTTCAGTATACACAAACTGGCATGGAGGCTCATGCCTCTGATCCTAGCACTCAGGAGGCTGAGGCAGGAGGATTACCACAATTTTAAGGACAACTTGGGCTCCACGGTGAGTTCAAAGCCAGCCCGAACTACACAGTGAGACCTTATTTAAAAATGTGTGTGTGTGTGCGTGTGTGCGCGCATCTAGTGGCTGGTGTCCTGCCCACAGCCCCAGGTGGGCGGTCTCTGTGCAGGTGCTCCTGCTGATCACCACTGGTATTCACCTGCAGCTGTCTGCAGAGGCTTTCTGTGGCCACAGGAGCATCCGCAGCAGGCAGGATGGACCACAAGTGCTGGGCTTTCCACATCCTGCAAGCAGCCTCAAGTTGAGGCCCTTACAAGAACAAACACTGAGAGTTGGGCATGGTGGCGCACACCTGTAATCCCAGCACTTGGGAGGCTGAGGCAGGAGGATCCTTGCGAGTTCAAGACCAGCTTGGGCTACAAAGTGAGTGCAAGGCCAGCCTGAATTGCATAGCGAGATCCTATCTCAAAAAGACACACACACACACACACACACACAAACACATAAAGGCAGCTGGTCTAGTTTGCCAATCTGCTAGATTAATAAATGGAAGACCAAGAGAAATATTACTTTTGATGTTGAAATTGCCAGGCTGGATTCGGACATGACTCTCCAGTACCCAACTCACTTGCCAGCAGAGGCCTTGTTCTCAGCTTAGCATTGGGACTGCCCTCAGCAAACACAGGATGTCACAAAAGAGATAGGGCACACATTCTTCCAAGCACTGGGACATCTGAAGATACCCACGTAACTGGACTCCTCAAGGACTTTGCCCACTGAGGCACGAGGCATCCGGAGAACTCTGACCACTGAGGTTTTACCAAGATCTTCCCGCCTAATGTCCCTTGCCTTCTTTCAAGCCCTCTTTAAAAAGCCTGCTTCCCTTTGTTTTCTACACATGGCCTTTCACCCTCTCTCTGCCTGCACCCGGGCACAATAAATTCCACACCATGTTGCCTTTATGCAAGCCTGGTGGTCTGGGTTGGTCTCTGCCTCATGCCATTCCTTGTAGAACTTACAAAGGGAAAAAAAAGCAAACTGTGCAAAGAAAACCCACATTTTTCATACTAATCTTCTATGAACATGGCAGAAGGACCGCTGAAAATGTTCAGTTTCACTTCATAAACAGTAAGAAGCACCAGTCACAGAGGCGCCCACACCCTGGGCCAGGCTGCTTCCTGGCTGCAGGCCTGCGCCCAAGCACCACGCACCGCAGTAGCCCTGTCCTAGGTCAGCGCTTCCTTCCCTTCCCCCAGCTTGATAAAATACATTTCCAAATCTTTTCAGTTTTTCACGTCTCTTGGGTTCACCTATTATTCAATCTTGTTTTTCCCCTTTCCAAAATTATTCAAAAGACTGTCAAAAATATAAAAAAAATACTAGCATGCTGTGTTAATTATGATAAGCATATTACAAAATCCCACTTAATCATCAGACCAACTTGCTGAGTTAGGCTGAACAATAAAATTCTTGTGTGAGACAGTAAATACTGTATTTGTGTTACTGAAACCAGCAATTAGCCAGTTTCTTCTGTAAAGGATTTGAAAAAAACATCTGTAAGCCACATATATGTTCTCTGTTTCAACTATTCACCCTGCCAACACAGCAGTAGAGTCGCCCAAACACATTACATAAATGAATGAGTGCAGCTGGGTTGTAGTAAACCTTTATGGACACTGATACCTGAATTTCTTATTACTTCCTGTGCCATGGAATACTCTTAATTTTTTCCAACCATTAAAAATATCCAAACTACCGAGCGTGGTGGCGCACGCCTGTAATCCCAGCACTCGGGAGGCTGAGGCAGGAGGATCGTTGCAAGTTCGAGACCAGCCCAGGCTACAAAGTGAGCTCAAGGCCAGTTTGAACTGCATAGTGAGACCCTGTCTCAAAAAAAAAAAAAAATCCAAACCATTCTTAATCCACAGGACATACCAGAGGCGGCTTCAAGCTGACCTGGGCACAGGGCCTCTCACTGGCTGACCATTCTGGCTAGGCTTTGTTACCTGAAGACAAGAGCACCTGACATGCACAAAGGCAGTGCAATCTCAGAGCTTCGTACGTACTTGACGATGAGTTTAAACAGGTTTTCCTCAGCTTGAATCTCCTGGATGGCATAGAAGTCCTTAAGTGAGAACTCCATCAATGTTCTGTGCTTACAGCCGTCCTCAGAGGTCTCTGTTTTCTGACCTTTGCTATTGCTAACAGAATTTGCTTCAATGTACAAAAGGAACATGCACTTGTCGTTCTTATTTCGTGATCCTATAAATTCAAAGTATTAAATATCGTATTAGTATTTTCATTTTCCCTGCAATGACTCAACTAGGATAGTAAAAAGAGTCACAGTGAGCTACAAATAAACCTTTAAAGTGTCATCTTATGTAAGCAACAAGGAAATGCCTACATTATTTGAGATTCGGTGAAATAGCTTATAAAGAAAAGAGATGATTGCTGACTAATCATTATTGAGAGATAATTATAATCAGGAAAAAGTTACACACACCTTCCTCAGCATTTGAGACTTTGACAATTCCAGTAATGGTCACCGTATCTCCCGGGACACAGCTATCCACAAGGTCATGCACAAGCTCACACTCTATTGTCCGCGGAATCCGACCTGCTTCTCGATGAGTATCAGACATGAGCTCCTGGATTCTAAATGTTCAACAACTTTCGGTTAGAATACACACATACAGTTGTTCCCTCAAAACATTAACTGTGCAGAGTCCACAGGGCACTGAGCAGGAGGCCAAATCAGCTTTAAAAGAAGTTTGGTGGTGAATCTACAATTGCTTCAATGTGGCAGCATGAACAGGGCATTTGCCCCACCTCCCTCCACAGGTCCACAACATGAGTCCCTAAAAGGATAAAGGAAGTTCTGGGGACAGTGAGAAGTCTGCAGCAAAGCCGAGGACTTTTCTGACAACAGCAAATGGGCAACAGTGGTGGGTGAAAGAAAATGAAGCCCAGAACACAGACAGGTAAAAAGTGCAGGAGCAAAGAGAAGTGGGAGCCCTGGAGAAGCTCCAGAGGTGGGCAAGGGACCAGCATCACTTGCGGGAGACAACAGTGGCTCAGAATCGTTCTGGAAGGTGGTGGACAGCCACGGAGGGGAAGAGTGAGGACTTCACCACCTGGAAACCTGACCCATGCTGTATAGGGACACACGGATTTCCTCTATGAGGGCTGCTGAGGTGTCCAGTGAAGCCATCAGAACTACAGAAAAAAGCCCCTCATTCTGGCATTTGCTCAAACTAATTAAAAAACACATTCATAAAACACAGTGGTGCACACCCATAATCCCAACACTCAGGAGGCTGAGGCAGGAGGATCACTCTAAGTTCAAGGCCAGCCTGAAATACATAGAAAGAGCTTACCTCAAAAAACCCCACAAAACCACAAGCCCCACTTTCTGGGACCCCTTCTGTACCTCTCAGACAGAAGCATTCTTTCTCTCAATAAATTCTTCCTACTTTTTAAAACAAAACAAAACAAACAAAAGCAAATCCCACATTCGTAACAGTCAAGACTCATACATACTCAGGGACTTGTGACAAAAAAAATGCCTACCTATAAAACAGCAAATAATTGCTGGGCATAGTGGTGCCTACCTGTAATTCCAGCATTCAGGAGGCTGAGGCAGGAAGATTGCCAAAAGTTTGAAGTCAGCCTGGGCTACATAGTAAGTTTACCCTGAACCACGTAGAGAAAGCCTATCTCAAAAAAACAAAAAACAAAACAAAAACAAAAACAACAACAAAAATAAAACCAGTCGTACCTATTCCAAGTAATTTCTCATCAGATATTTGAGAGTGAAATGGCAGTAATTCAAGAAGAACATAAACAAAACCTTGCTTAATAGTTTTGAGAAAATGTTGCTACCTAAAAAAAACAAAAATTAGCTGCTATAAGAAAGGGACGGGGGCTGGGGATTTAGCTCAGCAGCAAAGCGCCTGCCTGGCAAGCGCAAGGTCGTGAGTTCGGTTCCCAGTACTGGAGAAAAACCAAAAAAAAAAAAAGAAAGGGACGATGGGAAAACAATTGTGAGATCAGGAAAACTGAAAATATGTATATAAAAATCCAACATTTATAGAACAGATATATGAAAACACCAAAGAAATTTAGAAAACAGCACAAAGAAAATGAAAGATTTGGCAAAAGCTTAGACAAGGGAACAAGCCGAAGGATGCAGCTGGTAAGAAGCCCACAGAGAGAAGTCAGGTGTCGTACAGTAGGAGACAACTCGAGGACAAAGGGTCTGTCTGTGTCAGGGATGAAGACAAACCAGACAGACCCTCCTCACTGACTAGAACATCTACATACACAGACTGTGAGGAGGGGAAGTCCAGTTCCCCCAAAGGAACAGAATCGGACCAGCATCACACCCCTCATCAACAGCAGGGAAAACATTAACAGACTTTGGTAGCCAGGCGAGCTCTTATCCAGGCTAAGATCCGAATAAAGGCATTTACTGACATGCAAGGACCCAGAATGTTTTACCTCTTACATAAACTTTCTGAAAATTTCTTGAGAATTTTTCTAGAAAAATAAGATTATAGAAAACAATATTCAAGAAAATGGGGGCCTAATTCTAGCAGTGCAACAAAGAAAATTCCAGGATAAAGCAGGGCTGCAGGTCAGAAAACAACCAAGCCAGGCGTGGTGGTGAACACCTGTACACCAACATTTAGGAGTGTGAAGCAGGATTGCCAAGAGTTCGAGGCCAGCCTGGGCTACATGGTGAGTTCAAGAGCAGCCTGAACTACACAGTGAGACCTTGCCTCAAAAAACAAACGAACAACAACAACAACAAAAAGATAAAGCCAGGAGCCAGGATGTCAGCAGATAACTCTGTGGGACTGGTTTTATCCCAGAATATACTACAAACAAATTTTGGTTTCACTTAAAAATATTTTCCTACCTCACCACTTGTAGTGATTACACAATAACCACTTTACCACCATCCTTATTAATTTTCTTCATACGTTTAAGTGTTCCCAATGTTTTATCAACTCTGTGAAAACATATCAGCAAACTATTTCTACACATCATGGCTGCTGTCAGCAGATGCACTTTTAAGAACAGGGGTCTACGGCAACTGTAAGGCTTTGATACGCAGTACAAGGCCACCTCTTGATGCACACACATGCTCAATGCATTAGCTGAGAAGCAGTAGTTTAATTCCTGTGGGGTCATCCCAACCTAAGCCTCAGAAAAAAGTAGAAATTGAATTAACCATATATGGCAGAAAGGAAATTTTTCTTCTAAGGCAAAAAGTCACTATCTTTTTTTTTTTTAATTTTTATTTTAAAGAATAAAAGAAGGATAACATAATAATAGGGGGGACTTAGCAAATTACAGACAAAATGGTAGGAAATTATCAATGGTTATCGTTTTACGTATTATTATCTACAAAATAGTTTCTCAGGAAAACAAATAGACAAATAATAGTGAGTTAGAGACAAAAGAGGTAGGAGATTATCAAGAGTTGTTGTGCTATACTTTGGTATCTTCAAAGTGGCTTCTAAAGCAAAAAGTCACTATCTATAGAATAAAACAATTACCTAAGCTAGCACTGTCTTTTCTTGTTTTTTTGAGGCAGGGTCTCACTATGTAGTTTAGGCTGCCCCTGAACTCACTATGTTGTCCAGACTGGCCTCAAACTAGTGACGATCATCTTCCCTCAGCTTCCCAAGACCTGAGATTGAAGGCATGTACCACTGCACCAGCTGTGTAGACAGGGTTTATTGTAACTCATTTTAAGATTAATTTGGGCAAAATCATACTTTTAAAGACCCAAGAAAAGGGTTTTTTAAATTGTTTCTGGTTGTAATACTGGGAAGTGCTCTACCACTATGCCATATCCCAGCCCTTCTTTGAATTTTATTTTGAGATAAGGTGTTGCAAAGTTGCTCAGGTTGGCCTCAAATTTGTGATCCTCCTGCCTCAGCCTCCGAGAACAGCTAGAATTATATGTATGCACTATCATGCCTAGCTTAAAAAAAGGATTTAAATAGCCTGTTTTCAACTATCTACCACTGTGCTTGATTTCCTAATATCAGGACATCATTCAAATCTGATTAAAATATTTAAGTCTATTTTCTTGTTTGCTATTTTAACTTGAAATCAAAGAGGTTTTGTTTATATAAATTACCCTAGGACTTGTTTACATTTGCCATTCTATGAATTTTATAGAACTTCTCATGCCCTCAACCTCCCTCAGTGGTAAAAGAACCAGAGACCCAGCTGAAAATCAGTCTCTACTACTCAGAGGGCACACAATCAAGCTCAAGAGTCTGACACAGACATTTGTTATATATATGTTAGTCTCATCGGGAACGAGGGTGGACCTAGGACAGGGCTTGGTACCAAACCACTTCATCTTTTCTCTAGGTTCTTAGTGTTTTAGGATCCCGGACAGCACTCTGATTTAAAAAACTACCCATTATTTTATATTTAGGGATGAGTGTGGCCCGGTGGTTAGGCAAAAGAGGGAATAATTTACTGGGTGAAAAACGTAAGAGAAAACTACTTGGACTTGCAAAAAACCCAAAACCACTATATAATGCAGTAAAATTATAGATTTACATGGCAGCAAAAATCAAAAGCTTAACTTAAAAAAAAGCTACAGCAAAGGTTATAAAATGCCTGGAGGACAATGAGCGCATGAAAGGAAAGAGGCCAATGCCAGGCTCCTTCATCTGGAAACCTCAGTGTTCCTTCTGTGACGCTCATGATGAAATGAATCACACAGCTTCATTTATGGTCTACATCCAGTTTCAGGCATCACGTAACTACAACTGTTTCTCAAGAGTCCTATGACAAAATCTTTGCATTCTTTGAGAAATCTGAGAGATTCAGTCTTTCATATCAAGACCGTTACTTCCACTTTCCCAAACACACTTACTACATGCCTCCCCAGTTTCCAGTGGAAAGTGACAGCCTGACCCAGCACCAGGAGCACTAAACCCTGCCTTCCATTTAACAGTCTGTTGCTTACTTGATTGACTGCCAGTCCATGGTCACTGTGAGAGGAGAGCTGCGGAGGGGGGTGAATGACTTCCCACGACAGGCAGGCACAGGACACTGCAAGGACACAACGCAGTGACAGTCACATCTCAGGAAAATTCAAGTGACAGCATTTTATTCAAGTAAACCCACTACGAGCTCTGATGCCTTCCCATTTCCTCCTGCAACAACACAATGTCAGCCGCTTCCAAAGCGCTCTCCCAGCCGCACGGCTCCTCCTGCCTCACGCCATGCGCTCTGTGCCCTGGAGTCTGCTGCTCTGTGGGCTCCTTGCCGGCCCCGTCCTCCTCAGCCACACATACCCAGCCCATCCTTCTGAAAGCCCTCCCAGGGCCTTACTCCCCAGCTCTCATCAGGCCTCCTCTAGCACTCTCTGTATGCTGTATTTGCTGCTCTACACAGGCAGTCCTTGACATAGAAGCAAGTTATGTCACTTCCTCAGTCACTTCTTTGGCATTTGGACCGCAGGATGCACTTATAAACTCAGGCATTGTGGCAGACTGTATTTTCCAAACAAGACTGCAACGTTTTTCCTCAAACTTTTCTAGAACATTGCCACTCCCCCGTAAGTGTCTAATTCCCTTTCCTAGCATCTGGCCAGGCTTGTGACTATCTGCAGTCATGAGAAAGCAACAGACGCAATGCTGCCTGCCCTTCCCAAGTCTAGCTTATAAGAGGCAGAGCCTGTCAACTGGACCTCCTCGCCTTGTGGCTGTCAGCAGCCATAGGAGCAGACTCAGTGCTCCGAGCAGCTATGCTGTACCGAAAAGGCAAAGCCAGGCCATCTGAGGGCCCAAAAGAGAAGGCACAGGTGCCTGATCAACCCCAACCACCTTGCTGTATCAGCTCTACCCGTCATCTCTGACTACAACTCCACAGACACCTGGAGCAGAACTACCCCGGTGAGTAGTTCTTAAAAATTCCCAACCCACAGAAGTCACAGATCAGACTATTCTGATCCACTAAGTTTAGGGTGACTGTGGCAATGGTGACTAGCACAGCAATCACTCTGAACAGACATCTGATCCCTTTAATTCACACACGTCGGATCTCTTCATAATGGCACACATCTTCTGCTTCGGAGTCACTCCCCACTTCAGTAGAGGGCATAAAAACATAAGGCAAACAAATACTTTCCATAGAAAATACCCGTTTAAATCTAAAGTTATACCTTCAGCTGAGACAAATGTTAGATGGCACCTATTTTTTAATACCATCGATTATTTAGAATCAATTGCTCAATCTAACACAGCTTGCTCTTCCTGTAAGAGAAAGAAGCCCTGGAAATTTCAAACAAAAACATCATGTATTTCTATTTTCAGATTCTTTAAGTAATTATTTACCTCATTAAGACTCAACCCCTTACAAGAGTGAAAATTTAACAAACGTTTTAGTTTATTAAAATACAAACATAGTAAAGCCAAACTCTACAAAAGATAAAGTTAGGCAAATCCTTTTGTCTCATCAAACAGTTTTAGTAAGATGAACATAAATAAGACATCATGGAGCCAGTACAGGAGCAATGAAATGACCAGACTCACATGTAGGAGCGCCGTGGACTACAGCGGCTTACTACATGAGAGACAATGATAAGCAGACAGCAGCAAGACCACAAATGGTGGTTCCCCTCAAAATTAGATCCTTAGTTTTGTGCCATTCGAAATTACTGGCCAGATGGACAATATTAAATGCCAGATGGATGAAAGACCTAAATATTAGAAAAAATGAGAAAGCTGGGCATGGTGGTGCAGGCCTGTAATTCCAGTACTCAGGAGACTTGATGCAGGATCGCTGTGAGTTCAAGGTCAGTCTGGCTACCCAGAGAGTTCAAGGAGTTCAAGGGCAGCCTCAACCACATAGCAAGATCCTGTCTTCAAAAAAAAAGGAAAATATGGGAAAGTTTTATAATGTTCAGGTAAAGAAGGGCTTTTTACATAGGCCATAAAGCTTAAGGTATAAGCAAAAAACCAATTTGACTGTGTCAGAATATAAAACTGTAGAACAAAAACCACCACAAAGCTAAAAGATAAACCAAAGGCCAGAAGATACCTATAATAGATAAAACCAACAATGAGTTAGTACCTAGCATATAAAAAGAACTCCTGTCAAGAAAGCAATGAACAGGGCCGGGGATCTAGCTCAGTGGCACAGCACCTGCCTGGCAAGGGTGAGGTCCTGAGTTTGATTCCCAGTACCAAAAAACCATAAACAAATAAAGGAAAGAAAGAAAGCATTAAACTAAAGGAAATGAACGAAAATATAAATAGAAAGTTCAGTAAAGATATCAAAAGATGCTCAGCCACAGACTTTCACATGCTCAGCCACAGACTTTCACATGCTCAGCCACAGACTTTCACCCCACTGGGGTAAATGATATTTTAAAAAATTAAAAAGTCTAATAATACCAAGTGTTAATGAAAATACAAGGAAAGAACTGCTTAACAAGCCAGTAAGGGTGTAAGCTGAGGTCAGTACTCTGGAAGGTAATATGACAGCATCTAATACAGTTAACAATAAGTAAAGCCTCTAACTTGGAAATTCGAGACGTGTCCAAGAATGCTCGATGCAAATGCTGGGGATATAGCTCAGTGGCACAGCACCTGCCTGGCAAGTGCAGGGTCCTGAGTTCGATTCCTAATACAGAAAGCAAGCAAGTAAGCAAGCAAGCTTGATGCAGCGTCATTTGACACTGTAAAACTCTACAAGAAACTCAAATGCCCACCATGGATAAACAGTTGCTATTTACTTCATGGAATACTCTTATGAGTATGGCTGCAAAAATGAGAGAATTAGGTATGTATTACAGGAAGCAGAATTCCAACAAAGGGAAAAACAAGGGGTAGAATGTGACATTCAGTATCATTTACATAAGCATAACACAAAGTAACCCTGCACATATTTACAGTCAAGAATAAAGAAAGATGTGGACTTAGCACATGCTGACTTTAAAGTAGTGGATGCCTCTGGTAATAGAACAGAGGGAATGGAATTGCAGAGGGGAACAGAAAGACTCAATTTAAGCATAGTACTTTATATGTTTTGTTAAAAAAATTAAGCTAAAATAACAAAACTTAATACTTGCCAGTCAAATGGTGACTACATAAATGTTAGTTATATTATCTTCTGAACTTTTCCAGCTTTAAAATTCAGGGTTTAAAAAGAAAAAGGTCAATGAAGAGAAAAGGAAAAAACATTAAGAAACCTTGATGTGTGTTACCTATTAAGTCAAAACATACAAATATCAATGGAAAGGCTGCACAATAACTTCAAGCTAGTGATCATCTGTGGGACTGGTACAGGCAAAGTGTTAAAAAGAGAAACTAATGCTTTGTATCTTTAAAAGTATATCTGGAGCTGAAAAATGCTAATTCTGGGTGGTGGATAGAAGAATGTTTATTTTACATCTATATTTCCTGGACCTTAAAATATTTCAGAATTTAAAAAACAAAAATAAACTCTGTTCAGAAACATTGCAAAACATTTCAGTGAACTGATTTGCCTTCTTATCAGGATAAAGCAGCAGTTAGGGAGCACATCACCTTTGTGGGAAGACTGTATTTTCCATCTGGAAGAGGAAGGCTCTGAACCTCTCCACAAGCAGCACAGAGAAAAGCCATCTTGATGCAGAGAGGCTTTATGTTACTGACGCGAACCACAGTCCCTCTCAGTGTGATGTACTTTCCATAGTAATTTGCCCGAACATTCTTCAGGTGTGTCAAGGGCTCATAGTTGTACACCCTACAGATGAAACAGGAACCCCTGTAAGTCCACAGCTGGGAGGTCTGTATTGAGTACATCTGTATTTTCACAAGTTCCTTCTAGGAGGCGCTATGAATTACCAAACCATACTGTGCTGTTACGGATCAGAAATCTCACAAGAAGGAAATTACTCTAAGAAATAAACAAATAAAAATACAAAACTAAATCTTCTGTACCAGGCAGGGAGGTGCATGCTTGTAATCCCAGCACTTGGAAAGGTGAGGCAGGAGAATCACTGGGAATTTGAGGTCAGGGTGGGCTATACAGTGACTGCAAGGCCAGTTTGAACCACAGAGCAAAATTCTGTCTCAAACAAAACAGAACTAAATCTTCACTTTCTTCTTCTTCTTTTTTTTTTTTAATCCATACACTGCTATCTAGGGAAAAAAAAAAAAAAGCCAAGAAAAAAATCTACACATTCAACAGCTTCTGGTTTGTAACTTCTGTTTAAAGAATCCTGTTTAAAGAATATCATTTCAGGGGCTGGGGATTTAGCTCAGCGGCACAGCGCCTGCCTGGCAAGCACAAAGTTGTGAGTTTGGTTCCCGGTACCGGACAAAAAAAAAGAAAAAAAAGAATATCGTTTTAGGAACTGGGATGTAGGTTATGGACAAGCATGAGGCCCTAAATTTGATTCCTAGCACAAAAATAAAATAAAAGGAATATCTTTCTAAACTCTGATGAGTTTCATTTTCTTATTTATCTCAATGAATTTGAAATATTAAAATACAGATGAATTTTTAAAATTTCATTTATACTCTTGTATCTAATGAACCTAATAATTTAACCAAGTTAGTACACTACATGGATTATTAAATTTATACAGCAAAATGGTGATAAGTGTATATTGAAAAACAATGTTTACAAAAATTTTCTGTTGGGAAATCAACTTCCTTGGGCAGAAAATGTAACATCTCTTTGAAAAACTTTTAGGGTATTCACTTTGGTATGATGATCAATGAAATTATCAAGAAATTCATACCATTTTTACTGGTTTCTATAATAATGTGTGTGTATAAAAGAGTCTTACAATGTAGCCCAGGCAGGCCTCAAACTCATGGTAATCCTCCTGCCTCAGCATCCCAACCATCAGGATTGCAAACGCACACCAACACCTCCACCCTGAGGTTCTCCTTTGTTGTTTTTTTTTCTTTTTTTGAGACTTGGTCTCACTGTGTAATTTAGGTTGGCCTTGAGTTCACCATGTAGCCCAGGCTGGCCTAACCCTCAAGGATTACTTGTGGTTATTCTTGTGACCCAGCCTCCCAAGAGCTGGGATTACAGTCCTGCGCCACCACACCCTGCTGAGGTTCTCATTCTTAAACAGCTGTTAGCACCCTACTCTAAATAATACTAGCAAGCGTCTTACCGTGCATAAATGTGAGGCACATTTACCATTGTTCCCCCATCACTAGACAATCTTTCTTGGGCTTGCAATTCAGCAGCATGCTTTTCAAGGTCCTTAGTTAATACCTAAAGAAAACAGGTATTCACTCGAAGATGAAAAATGTTCTCTGTAAGCAGAACTTTTTTGTACAGAATCTGAAATTTAGTTCAGAACAAATCAGAAAGTAAATAGGGCTCTGCTGGCCTTCAAGTCTGATATTCAATTATTACCACTTATCTTACAGTGGAATGTTTTACTTGGGATTTTGCTGTCCCTGGACTGAAAATTCCAACATCTCTGCCTGCCGTCTTTTGTCCCAAATGAGCTTAACATTAAAAAACCTTGTATCACCCTCAAAACCATCACCCCTGGATTCTATTAAGAAATATTTTTCTACTTCTCCATATGCACTGAGTAATCAAGATATAAAAAAATAAAAAGGACATTTAAAATACCCCAAACCAGTTTCCTAGGCAGTATTAAATAAATATTTAATACCTATGTGTATACAAAATAGTATACTGACAATCTATGAGACAAAATAAGATGCATATGTATTGGTTATAAAGGCTATAAAGAGTTAAATGCAAAATACGTTATGAGTTTTGAAAAGGGGTCATAAGAAAGGTTTTACAGAGTGACAGACCATTGATTTGGCCACAAGAATCTGGCTATGTGAGGGGAAGGGAATTCTAGGGTGAACAGACAGCACGAGCACCATCCAGTTAGACTGTGGGACGGAGCTCAGTCTCACCGGGTCAGTGCCTGGGGACGAGTGGAGAGATGAAGGTGAGTGGGTCATGGAAGGCTTGCAAAGTCACCTAAGTGATGTGGGCTTCGTGTAGTGCAATGAAGCAACAAGTTTCATATTTAACAAAGGCAATCATTCAGGAACAATAATAAATCCTTAGCCTAAGACATAGGCAAGTAAGGATGGAAACTAGGTGGGCCTAAGGGACATTTTAGAAAGAATGAAATGAAAGGATGTGGTTACAGACAGTAACAAGCTAGGTGGTGGGAAGACAACAGTCAGGTTCCTGGTTTCCAAGAGCAGACACCTGCTCTATTGTCATGAGTGTCCCTCACACCTGTATGTCCTCATCTCTCCTGCTCTGTGACTAAACCCAACCTTCCTCTGCAGACCTAACATAAGCCCTATGTCTCCCTTTGCGCTTTCCTCTGCTTCCCCAACAGCTAAGAGTCTTCCTTTTGCCTATGAACACACACAACACTTTCCCTGTGCCTGTCCTGAGATTTGCTACACTTTACCTTGAAGGTTTAATCTGTTGGCTAGCCTAAAATATTTGTTTTTCTTTTTTTTTGGTACTGGGAATCAAACTCAGGACCTTGTGCTTGCCAGGCAGGCGCTTAGGCCGCTAAGCTATATCCCTGGCCCTAGCCTAAAATATTAAGTGCACACATGCTGTATCACTGACTGTCAGAAAGGCTCAGGCAGGCACGGGACATATTGTTATTTCTCTTTTGTAGATGGACACTTGGAGAAGTGATTTGCCTCATGCCATAGAACGTACATCCTCAAGAACAAGGTTTAATTTCAGTTCTCTCTGCTAGTAAAAGCTAAGTATCTTCTTAAAGAAAGTACCAACACTGTGACACCTTGCTTGAAAAATGTGCTGAAAGTCTGTACAAAATATTTACCTGATGTACTGCCAGACCCATGCAGGCCAAGGTTTTCTCAGGTGCATCCCTTAGTTCATTTCCTATATCCGGTATCAAGTTAGTTAGTTCATCATCTTTTGTCAGGTTTTTAAAATCCACCAAAATACTTCCCTTTCTTTCTATTTCATCCTGTGAAAGTTGGAAGATAATTTTTGAGTTGATTATCACAACTGAATGTCAGATAATGGCAAGCACTGCATAGGCTTTGTGCCAGGCATGGTTCTAACGTTTTAAACGTATTAATTCATTTAGGCTTCTTAACAAAGCTTTGGGGAGGTATTTATACTGTTACCTCCGAGTAAGAAACAAGGAAACTAAGGCACAGAGAAGTAATTCACCACGTCTGTGCTCGGCAGAGTTGGGATCTGATCACAGGCAGCCTGGCTCCAAGCCTCTGATCAGTCACTAGCATCTCAAGTATGCTGTTTAGTGAGGTGACACATGAAGGTGGGTGGGTAGCTCTATGGTGGAGAATCTTACCTTATCATATAAATCAATATGCCTTGTGAAAAATTTTTCAAATGCTTGAATCTTCTCAATAAAAGGAGAGTTATCACTGTAAACTAATCCAATAAACATGGCATTAGCACGAATAATCATACAAGTATAAGCACGTATTTCATGAGACAGAAAAAATACTTTAAGTGTAGTAAATGTTTTTTCCCATTTGCTTTGTATTCCAATTACATTTAGCTAAAAACTGGTGGGAATGTATCCTTGAGCTTCTAAAACAAGTTTAGGGGAAGCCAGCATGGTGGCTGCATGCAAGAAGCCAGCCCGGACTACACGGCAAGACCCTGTCTCAAAAAGAAAAATTAAAAATTAATTTTAAAAAAAGTGTCGGTCTGCATACTCTGAAATGCAGACAGGAGTGGATCTCTCTCTAAAAGCTCTACTGTCTGGGAAACTTTATATTGCATTTTAGATGCTTAAAAGGACATATTAGTTCAGGCAGTTTAACATAATAAGCCTGAAACAAACACTGTAATAATGCCAAAGTGAGACACATGAACTAAATTCTTATTCTGAAACATAGCTAAGAAAATGACAATCTCTGTAAAGTAAGTCACATCAGTTCAAATTGCCACTGGTCAAATTCTTTCCCAAGATCTGGAGACAAACTAATGCTTCACTCTGAACTCAAAACTAGAAAGCTATTTTTCTTAACATCTTAGAAGTTCAGTAATATTTTCAACTTGGTCTCTCACAGGGAAATAGTACAATGAAATAGTTTGAAAGCACAAGTGGTCAAACCCAAGATCCCAGGGGCTGGGGATATAGTTCAGTAGCATTTTTAGGACCAATCCAATGTCATTTACAGTGTTCTAAGCTAACTACTAGGGAACTAATACAACTATTGGTGGGTGGGTAATAATTCCCTTAAGCAAAAAAAGATCTGTGAAACACATTCATATATTTATCAGGAAAAAACCAGAGTAGTACCAATATGGACTTTCTTTTAAAGAATACTAGCTTCTTTTTAAGCACTGGATTTCAATTTTTACAAATAATCTTAGAACAATTCAAGTGACTGAAGTTTTCATAGGAAGGAATATAAACAATATAAACCAAAAAAAAAAAAAAAAGGAAAAGGATCAAAAGATGGGTGGAAGGGACAAGGAAGGACAGGAAAGAGGATGCAAAAGGAATTAAGAAGTGTTATGTACATGTACCAACTTCCCACAAGGAATGTAAATATTATGTACTACATACAGGTACTAATAAACTAAACTAAATTAAACTAAAAGAAAAAGTATAGCTCTGTGGAAAATAGCTCTTATGCACAAAAAACATGTACATGTTCCATTTTTCTGTTAAAAAACTATGAGGTGGATTAACAATCATTTTCACAGAAATGAAAAAATGTGTAAAGTCACACGTCATTGCATTTATATTTACAAAAAACCATAGACAGACATGCATTTCTCCTTTATTGGGGCAATTTAAATACACGTGTGAACATTAAGGCAGTGGTGATTCGAATCCACAGTCATAGGCAACTGTGCCCAAAGCATATTTGTCTAGTAGGTTGAGTTCACCTGTCCAGCTCTTATTAACCTATTTATTACCAGCTTTTTGCATCAGATGTATGGGATAAGCATTAGTAGCAACCACCATAAATTTACTTTAATGAATCATTAGTCTGCTTTGTAGATTTTATTTTAAGGATTTAGCCTTCAGCAGCTTTGTAGATTTTATTTTAAGGATTTAGCCTTCAGCAGCACAAGCATTTGCCACAAAAAGAACAGAACATTTTTGGATAAACAGCTTACAGGCTACACTGAACAACATTTTTGTATAGTACTTTATTTACAAAATAAATACTGAGTGGCTGGTATGGGGCAAGCCCTATAGTCTAGTGGAGAAAACACATACATAGATATATACATACATACATATATATACACACGTATATATGTATGTATGTGTGTATATATATATGTGTTTGTATATATGGCTAAAACACAGCCTATAGTTCATAAGAGATGTAATAAACACATAGATTCTATATGAACACAGGAAAGACACTTCTCCACATCTATATGGACTATACCATGATACTGGCTGGTTATCAAAAGGAGATCTCTTAACTGTCTCTATATGCACCTGTGCTGGTTACTAGCTCTTGTTTTCTGCTCTGTGATGCTATGACTGAAATCCTCAACCTACTGGTAACCCTAGCCATAAAAAGGGCTGCTCTTTCCTGCTACTTCAAGAGAGATTAGAGAGGTCAGCTCAATGTTCGCTTTCTGCTCTTTCAGTCTTCTATCTATAGTCCCAACTCCTTAAATTAAATTCCTTTTTTGAAACACCTAGTGTGGCTTTTGTTTCCCCAACTGATATAAAACCTAAAAATAATGTTTTTTAACATAAGCATGATTTAATTGTTTAGAAGAATGAACATTGATGGGTATATTTCAGTAACTACAATGAATTATAGTAGTACAAGATGTAGCATCCAAAGACAAGGAAATATAATTTATGGTACTTTTTGCACTTTTAACTCTACCTTCAGAAAAATAAAGCTTCCAGCCTCTATATGGTATGAACTGATCCAACGTTGACTGCTGTAGCAAAGGCTGTGGAGTTTGTTCTGGAAAAAAAAATTATGCTATGTTAATAAAAACAAAGCAAACTCTTTCAATTTGTTTCTCCTTTCAACAATTAGCATTTTACATGACATTAACAGAGCAGCTGAATTAGTCTTCAGTAAAAATTCTGGACATTAACATTCAAATACTTGGTAAGGAATAGCATCAAATGAAAGACTCTCATTTGAGTTAAACTCTTGTTTAACTTAAGAGAGTTACGCTACACTCAGAGGCATGAATTACTTCCTCCACCACAGAAAAAAATTAATCAATGACCTCACCTACCAGAGGTTTGCTTTCCAGGGGTTTTATTCAGGTCAGGTCTGCGTTCTCTTTCTCTCCATTTTCCTGAGAAGTTCCCACCACCTCTTCCTCTTTTCCAGCTTTGAAATCTTCCTCGTCCAAATCCGCCTCTGCCTCTATACGCCCCACTCATGTCGTCTAAGAAATAGAGATTAGAAAAGATCCACAAAAACTAGATGGGGTATAACACTCCTAAAAGTGTATTTATGTAGTTAAAAAAAAGAAAATTTGCGTTCTATGTTTGAAAAGAGCATACAGTCTTCAAAGTTGTAGATGATGGAGGAAAGCGAACATTTTGCAATTACTCTTCTAATCCCCATCGCTTTTTAATGTATGGATGTTTAACTAAGCATATACTAAATGCCCATGGAATAAAAACAGGTATATATCGTACCAGTTACAGGGAGACTCCATGATAGAAACAGAAATAAAACAAGTAAGGAAGGTAATTTGTTTGCAATGTTTAGAACTTATTAAAGGGCAGTCATAGCTATATATAATCTTGACCTGTGCGATACTACGGATACCTCATGACAACTCCTTACATACCAGCATTCCTGCAGTGTGCTATCCACTGTTTGTGCAATCTTTCTATAAACCTAAAACTGCTCTTTTAAAAAAAGTCTACTTAGCAAAATTCATATCTTACAGATACAAATAAATAAGAATATACCCACACAGTGCAGTGCAATTAATTGCAAGCGTCTACCGGAATCTTTATTAAAAGGATTTAGTTAATAACTAAATAGCTCACAATTTTAGGGAAGGGCAGGACTTAGATCACCAACCTGACATTATATACTGAGAAACTGAAGCTCAAAGAAATTAGGCATAGAGATGAAGCTCAATGTTGTCTGGTGACAGTAGACAGCAAAACTGTCCTCGGACTCGCAAGCTGAAGCGCTCCTCTGACACTACCTACCGTGCCCTTCTCAAAGGAGGTGAATATGCTGAAAAAAGTACCAATTCCAACACAAATGCAAGAGGTAAGACTGCAGAGAAAGCCACGCGCTAATCCATCGAGCCCGATTCTCGCTCCCTCTTCTGCGGGAAACACAAGGGGACCGTAAAATTTTCAGCTCCTAAGGACCCGTCAAGTCTGGTTTTCCTCAGCCGCAGCTCTCCAGAGGGTCCAGCGCAGGACCCGCCCCTCCCGTTGCAGCCGCTCAGGAACTTCAGTTTTTCCACCACTGCCTCGGGAAAGGGTTAGGAGTGCAAAGCGCCACAATTTCACCACAAGATACGGCCTAGTCTGCCTATAAATTCTTTCTTGGCGCGCCCGCGACGCAACTTCCGTTTAGGGAAGTGACGAAAGAAGGGGCGGGGAAAAGTGTAGCCAATCAGGGAGGTCAAAAGGGCAGGCGCATATAAGCTCCCGGAAGTGGTCCGGAGGTCCGAGCCGGAAAGCGGAAGCCCGGGCAGCACGTGGGGGAGGTGCCGGTCGGAGGCTCTTAGGTCTCTCTGGGTGGGAGGCGGAGCTGGCTGCCGCGACAGCGCAGGAGGTGGGACAAGGCGCGGGAGACTGGAGGGACACCAACGAACCTGGAGACCGGCTGAGTGCCATGGAGGGTTCGGGGGAGCAGCCGAGCGCACAGCCCCCGCATCCTGGGGACCACTGCATTCGCGACGGCGACTTCGTGGTGCTGAAACGAGAAGATGTGTTCAAAGCAGTGCAGGTCCAGCGGAGAAAGTAAGTCAGGTTGCTGACCCTGGGTGTCTCCGCCTTCTAGGTGACGCTCTCCAAGTCTCTCTGTAGACCTCTCCCTGCAGCATCACATTCGTGACTCTCTGGATCCCCATCTCCCGCCATCGGTGCCTCCTTGGATCTTACTAGCACAGTGGCCTTTCCCACCGGGATCCTTTTTCAGCCTGGACCTTCGAGACCTCTCCCGCCTCTCCTGTCTTCCCACAGAGCTCCCCTCCATGGTTTCATACCGGACCCTCTATCTTTAGCATCCTTTCTAGTCTGGCTACATAGCCCTTTCCCCAGAATTCTGTTCTTGGTCCTGTAGTGCCCGGATGCGGCTCTCTCTGCCTCCCCCACTCCCTGCGTGGAGTTCTCCCCTTGGATTCTTAGGATTTTCTGTGTTCTTGCAGATCCACTCCCGCAGTGTGGCATCTTCTTCTTGCCTCTGAGAGTCTCCTCCGCACTTCTCCGTTTGCCCATAGATGCTCCTTCCTCCCTAATTCCCCAGCTAGGATCAATCCTATAAAAAATGACTTTCCACCTGTTCTGGCCTCGGAAAGGCTGGCCTCTTCGCTCTACCCAAAGTGGATTACCTATCTACGCAGGATAGAAAAGGGCGACAACTTCTCACAGAGCGTGGAATCACTTTGGGGTTCCTTTGCTTCACACCGAGGTATTCAAGGGCCAGGAAAGTTGAACTGCTCAAGAGCAGTGTGCTCCAGGTCTCAGAACTCGAAGTTAGGTTTGGTTTGTACACTGCCAACTAGTATGACACTATTTTAGGACTACAAAAACAGGGTTTTTTTGTTTTTTTTTTTTTTTGAAAGCAGGATTTTTGATAATTTTCTAGGAAGGATACTGAGGTGGTTAAATCCTAATAGCTTATATTAGTGGTGATAATATTTGGGGATGTTGATGTTAATTTATCCGAGAAGTATAACCCAGTTTTCTTTTGATCTGAGTCATTACACTTTTTTGTTTGTTTTGTTGTGGTGCTGTGGATCTAACCCAAGATTTCGTACATGCCAGGCAAGTGTTGTACCACTGAGCTACCTTCTCGACCTTATTTACTCTTGACAAAGAAGTCAGTTGGAGGCAATATCAGCACAGCCAGAAAATTAGGCAGCATGAGCTGTGGAATTTTTGAGAAATGCTCATATTAGTTGAATTATTTTACTATTGCTTGAGTCAAACTGTTGGTAGTATTTAAAATGAAACAGGTATCATTAAAAATTAGGCCAGAAGACATGAAGCACCAAACTGGTGATAACCAAGCTCTTTTGCAGAAGCATCAATGGGGTAAAGAAAGAATTTTGGAGAAGGGGTGTTTCTTCAAGTACAGAAATGTACTTGCAGCACATTTTAAGCATTTTTTTTTTTTTTTGGTCATTTTGATACAGGGTTTCATTTTTCAGTTCAGGCTGGCCATGAACTCTCTTTGTAGTCCAGGCTGGCCTCAAACTTGGAGCAATCCTCCTGTCTCAACCTGACTTACTTTCTCCGCTGGACCTGCACTGCTTTGAACACATCTTCTCGTTTCAGCACCACGAAGTCGCCGTCGCGAATGCAGTGGTCCCCAGGATGCGGGGGCTGTGCGCTCGGCTGCTCCCCCGAACCCTCCATGGCATTCTTCTGTAATGCCAAGTATTGGCATTACAGGCATGCATCACCATGCCCAGCTTTTAAGAATTTTTAAATTATCCATTGATGAAATTTTATTTTGTTTTGGTAGTTGAAATTAGAGGAATTTTACAACTATCCCTTATCACTACTCTATTTTTGTAGTCTTGAAGCTAGTGTGTTTTTCTTTTAGAATTAATTAGAAATTCTATACTTGTTTCCAAGAGCATAATTTTTAAAGCTATCCAGTACTAATTATTTAAGCTTTTTAGAAGAAGCATGACACAGTGCAGCAAAGTTCTTAGATTATAAGTTCATAGTTCAGTGAGTAAACCCAGCATTACACATCTGTGTAATGACCATCCAGGTAAAACTTTTTCTTCTCTTTTTCATACTATTCTTGTACATTGCTTAATTTCCAAGTATGGTTGTTTGTGCTAAGAATGGGGTTTTTTTTAGATGAGAGATACTTCACTTCTAAGGCTACATCAACTCTAGAGTCTTTTATACCTCATTTGAAAATACTTCTCGGGGCTGGGGATTTAGCTCAGCGGCAAAAGCGCCTGCCTGGCAAGCGCAAGGTCGTGAGTTCGGTTCCTGGTACTGGAGAAAAACCAAAAAAAAAAAAAAAAAAGAAAATACTTCTCACCCATCCCTATTCTTAGCAGAGCCATATTGGTGATTTCTGTCTTGCTTAGAAAATGACCCTCTGAGCTCTGATGCTCTCAGGGCAGACTCCCTCATTACCTTCCCTCTGGGCCACACTCGTCTGCTTGGGTAGAAGCAGTCCTAGCTCTCTGAGGAAGACACTGCACATCCTCTTCCTTCTCAGTGAAGAGGTGGCTTCCATCCCTCTGTGTGACACCTGCCTTTCCACATCAAATAGATCAGTGTTCCTTTAGCACTGAAGTGCGTGGAGGATAAGGTAGGGTGTACATCTGGGGTGAGAGCCGAGCTTTAGTTTCCAAGGGGCTCAGATATTGGTGTCACCAAGTATTTTTAATGTCTGTGTTGGTTAGTGGGAACCCAGCAAAGAGTAAGAATTGATCCTATCTGGCTCCCTTGGAGTCACACCGCATGTCACTCAGAGGGCTACAAGTGACACTTAATAAAGATGTAACACATACACATTATACAGGTGTAGCAGGATATAGAAACCAAACAAGAGAGGTGACATGCTCAGGCCCTAGCAGTCATGGGAAGCATTTGACATGGGAGCCTGAATGCTGCAGTGATGCACTCTGAGTTCCTGGGAGCACAGAAAGGAAGAGGAAGGAGGTGGGGTGCAAATAGAACTCAGTGGTGCGGCTCCAAGAGTTCAGAATTCCATCGCTGGGGGCCAGGTCCTGAAGCTCACTGGTGCCTCCTGAGGTCCTGGGAGCTTTGCTGGGGTAGACTGTGTGACAGTGGGAAGAACCAGACCTGGGGCTCAGACAGGCCCGAATTTGAATTTCAGCTCCAGCATCTCGTAACTGTGAATCTTGAACACTAAGCATACTTTTCTCTAGGCTTTGGATTTCTTTGGAAAGAGCTACATCCCAGGTTTACCATGAGAATTTTAAAAGTGTAAAACACACCTGGTGTACACTGGCTAATACAGGCTAATACCTGTAGTTGATGCTCAGTAGATGCTAGTATTCTTCTTTTAAAAGGCAAGGTTTTTATGGGATTTCTCTTTTAAACTGCAGTAGGATACAAATCTGGGTATGAGGAAAGACCCAGTAGAGCATTGTCAGTGTTAGGTTCCATTTCCAAATGTTTAGATTACCAAGGGTGTTTACTTGCAAATATAATCTGCTTGTATTAGATCATTTTCTAATAAAATGGCCCATTAGACCAAGGCCAAGAAATTTCTCGAATATTTTTCATTTCCATGATTGCTCTGCTCTGAACATGGCCAGTGTGAATTGCAGGGAGCGGGGGGTCACAATGTGTGGCCAGTGGCTGAGCCATCTTGGCCAGTCTGCCCACTATTGAGGAAAACTGCGGAGCCTGTGAGTTCTGTGCCTTGGAAGAGGAAAGTTTTCTGTTTTTGCTTTCTTTTTCCAAATTCAGTGTTTCCTTGGCTTCTTTATTATCCGCCCATACCTGATGTTTTTTTCTAGTTCATTTGTCAGTTTGTATTCACGGAAGTAATGCTGCTGATCCATTGTGGAGACCACTTTTGAAGTAAACTGGAGTGAGCATGTCTTTTGTATACTGAATGCAGAACAAGTCAGTTAATTGTTTGCTCTTTTCCTCCCAGAAAAGTAACTTTTGAAAAACAGTGGTTCTACCTGGATAACGTCATTGGTCATAGTTATGGAACCACATTTGAAGTGACTGGTGGAGGAAGTCTTCAGCCCAAGAAGAAAAAGGAGGAGCCTACTTCAGGTACACCATTTAGTTGTGCGAAATAGACGCTGTCTCTGGGTGCAGTGGCACGTGCCTATAATACCAGCCGCTTCCCAGGAGGCTGAGGCAGGAGGATCCCAAGTTCCAGGCCAGCCTGCGCAACTTAGTGAGACATGCCTCAAAATTGGCAGGGGGACATCCTAGGGAGATAACTCACTGGTGAATGCTTGCCTAGCATGCATGAACCCTTGGGTCCATTCCCCCCTAAAAAGA